GTGCACTGTGCAAAGTCAGCTTCAAACAGCAGAACACATACTTCAAGACTGCACTGGAAAGGCCAGATAGAACAGTACAAATTGAAACCATGTGGGCCACTGAATTCTTCTTCTTCTCTCATTCGAAATAACTTGTCCATATCAGCAATTTTATCTTATATAATTTCACTGTCATTATATGTATATAGACTGCATAATCGGTTGTGCCAAGTTCTGAGGTGCAGAATAAATTTATTTACTTTGTATCAACCAATCAGGCGTCATCTCCACAGTGAAAGTTGGTTGGAATGGATCTCAAACACTTTCTGTCTCTTGTCCTGGTTGTACACTCTCTCAGACTGCTGTCCATCAACTCTTGATGTTTCCTTCCACTTGTATCACAGTCTACCTTTGCCTCTTTTCCCTTCCCCCTTTCCTGCCAGTATGGTTTTTAAAAGTTTTTTTTTTTTTTTTACATCTTTTTGTGTGTAGCAAAATTATTTCAATTTCTCTTTTTTTTCAAGCAACTCCGTTTTCATTTGCCATCTCTCCAGAAATAGCTTTCATAAAGTTTCAATGTCTTACAGTTGGTCATTGGGTTACAATCAAAACTGTTCAGAGAAAACAAATAAGTTAGTTATTTAAACACAAACCTATGCTTATTGGATCATTTAAATCAATTGAAAAATGAAGTGGAAAAATGATACAGCAATTATACGTTTGAAAAAAAAAAAAAACTTTTAATTTAAAAAGTAACAATGACACAAAGTATCAGATAACAAAATCTTATTGTGTATAAACTCTTATCAAATAATCAAGGCTTAAATTATACAAAAGAGTTTATTTTTATCTAAGAAAATAATAGTCACATCAATAAGATTTGTTACAATAATCGAGACTATAAGTAATCCAACACAGACTGACTGGAAAGCTCAACGAGAGGTTGTGGAAAAGATGTGCACAAATGCATCAAACTTGTTATCAACCGAGTACTAAATACAGCGTAAACTGTGAATAGAAAACTCAAATGGACAAGACAACAGATCCTGTACACAACCAAGGTCAACATGAAACCACAGAATTTGTAATAGAAAAAATATGGACATGAAGGAACATCTTTTTAAAAAAAACATCTTGGAGAAATATAGTCAATAACAATTTAAAAAACATTAAATATATAGATGCTTTGAACATTGATACCTGCATGACTAAGAACACACAAACTGATTAAAATGGTTTTCTAAGGAGCAACAAGCTGTTTGGTCACACTTGAAAAACACATTTTAACACAATTTATTAAAGTTTAGAGTGGTTGTTCCTAAGTTGTTTAAATTTACTGCCCCTTTTTCTCTTACGCCATATCCCTAATGTAATACTTGTATTCCCCCAGACATTTAGTAGGTAGACTGCAGTCATTGTGAAGACAGCACAGAATCAACATCAATATGGAAAGAAAGTAACCAGTCATCACACCACATTAGACTGAAACCTAGTATATGCATGGCTTTTCTCTTGTGGTACGCAACGGTACAAGTACCAGCACTTATTTAATGCATCTATTTTACAGCACAACGGTAAATGTATTTTTGGTAGTGAATGCCAGTACTTTTTGAAGAAAGACATTTTTTGGTGAGTGCTGGCATCTTTGTAAAAAAAAGCGTTGAGTCTATGTATAGCTAAACTTACTTCACACAGATAATGGAAACTGGTTTTAAAGTAGTCAGCAGCAGTAACAAATCCTGAAATTACCAATATATCATCATCCATCTTATTATAAATAATTTTTGCCTTTAAGTGTCGTGCGGAGGAATAATTTGCGATTTGGTACACGCAGGCTGCCACTGGCTACTGTCATGCCGTAAAAGCATAGAGTGTCTTTAATGTTTTCGATCCATATTTTTCGCGGCTGTCCTCTTGTAGCTATTCTTCTGAGATGTAGTGCCAGTGATGGTATCTGATCTTGCTGCAAACCATCTGATCTGCAGTTTCTTGATGAATCTAGTACAAGTTGTACAATATATCAAGAGCACAAAACAATAATTTAAATTACGTAACTGTCTTACATAAATAATTACACGATATGTAAAATAACAAATATATAATTTTAGAATTCGATGAACACTTTATAACCCTGAGGGTTGGACATGTTTGTGAAAATTACCACATCTCAAGGACAAGTGAAAACAGGGCGAATAAAACATATGGTTACTTTCATTACATGCATCATTCTAGGTTGACATAATATTTACATGTAAGGATTGGCAGGAAAATGTATGTGTTTTCATTATAAAAACATCAGTTGCTAAAAGAGAACAAAACAAACAGAGGTTCACAGCTCAAAAGGAAAGAAGAAACAACACATAGACAGAGTGATAAAATAAAGACAGTTAAAAAACAGACAAATGGCATTACAATAAACTAAATGAACAGTAATGACACCATAGACACAAAACAGACAGAAATGAATCTAAAGACAGTAATTGCACCACACTGACAAAACAAAGACAAATAATAACAAAGAGAAAGAACTATAATCACACAACAGTCACAAGCAAAGACAGAAATGACAAAACAGTCACAGAACAAAGACAAAAATGACAAAACAGTCACAGAACAAAGACAGAAATGACAAAACAGTCACAGAACAAAGACAGAAATGACAAAACAGTCACAGAACAAAGACAGAAATGACAAAACAGTCACAGAACAAAGACAGAAATGACAAAACAGTCACAGAACAAAGACAGAAATGACAAAACAGTCACAGAACAAAGACAGAAATGACAAAACAGTCACAGAACAAAGACAGAAATGACAAAACAGTCACAAGCAAAGACAGAAATGACAAAACAGTCAAAGAACAAAGACAGAAATGACAAAACAGTCACAGAACAAAGACAGAAATGACCTAACAGTCACAGAACAAAGACAGAAATGACAAAACAGTCACAGAAAAAAGACAGAAATGACAAAACAGTCACAGAACAAAGACAGAAATGACAAAACAGTCACAAGCAAAGACAGAAATGACAAAACAGTCACAGAACAAAGACAGAAATGACAAAACAGTCACAGAACAAAGACAGAAATGACACAATAGTCACAAGCAAAAAACAGAAATGACACATTAGTCACAGAACAAAGACAGAAATGACACAACAGTCACAAAACAAAACAAAGAAATGACACTACAGTGACAGAGCAAAGACAGAAATTATATCAGTCATAAAACAAAACAAAGAAATAAAACTAGTCAAAGAACAAAGATACAAATTCCACAACAGTCACAGAGCAAAGACAGAAGTAACACAACAGTCACAGAACAATGAAAGAAAATACACCATAGTAACAAAACAAAAAACAGAAATGACACTACAGTGAAAGAACAAAGACAAGTCAATCTACTGGCACAAAACAGAAATAACACTGTAGTCACAACACAGACAGAAATGATATTTCAGTCACAACACAGACAGAAATGACTAACATAGCGTGTTAGAAAGGTTTAAAAATCTAACTCCATTAGTTAAAAATCTATCTTATCCAGAACCTCAACCTGTGTGCCTAACAGTATGCTAATTGTTACACCACTTGCTCCTCAATCCACATGTATAAATGGGAGTGGTAAAATCACTGTTACTTGCTCCTCAATCCACATGTATAAATGGGAGTGGTGAAATCACTGTCACACCACTTGCTCCTCAATCCACATTTAAGGATGGGGGTGATGGAATCATTGTTACACCACTTGCTCCTCAATCCACATGTATAAATGGGAGTGGTGGAATCACTGTTACACCACTACTCCTCAATCCACATGTATAAATGGGAGTGGTGAAATCATTGTTACACCACTTGCTCCTCAATCCACATGTATAAATGGGAGTGGTGAAATCATTGTTACACCACTTGCTCCTCAATCCACATGTATAAATGGGAGTGATGACATCACTGTTACACCACTTGCTCCTCAATCCACATGTATAAATGAGAGTGGTAAAATCACTGTTACTTGCTCCTCAATCCACATTTAAGGATGGGGGTGATGGAATCATTGTTACACCACTTGCTCCTCAATCCACATGTATAAATGGGAGTGGTGAAATCACTGTTACAACACTTGCTCCTCAATCCACATGTATAAATGGGAGTGGTAAAATCACTGTTACACTACATGCTCTTCAATCCACATTTTAGGATGGGGGTGATGGAATCACTGTTACACCACTTGCTTTTGTACCAACAAACAAAACAACAGGAATACTGTTTCAGGTCTAGTAGGATGGATCTGCAGGCTGACTATTTCAGTCCTGCCGATCAGTTAGTGAGATGCACACACTGTATGACACTGTTAGCTATTTCATTTGGAATCGTTTTCGACTGTGCCTGTTGTGGCTGGTCTTGTGAACTGCAGATTCAGAAAATGATGAGTGGCCTGTTGCTACAGACCTAAAGGTACCTTGTGCGGTTAAATGAGTGTGCAACTGCTGATTTGCTCTAACTGGTTCAATGATTACCTCCACGATGAACTGCAGTTACAGTGGTGGACTGTGACACTTCTGATGCTGCCTTATGCATTTGATGTATGTGTTTGCTACTGTTTTTGCAGAGACTGCAGTCCATTTCTATTTGTTTCCATAATACAGATAATGGCCATTTTCTAGGGTTTTCATTGGGACACAAATCAAGTAATTATGAGGTAATTTGTTTGCCATGAAGCCAGAACTGCAGTTACCTGATCAGGAATAATATACTGAAGAAAACAAATGATCCTGCAATAAACTAAACTCTAAGATTAAAAATAAACAAAAAACAGTATACAATAGTTACTGATAGTGGTTGTTTCTGAAGTATTAATGTTCTTCTGTTTCTTGTTAAAGACTGGTAAAAAAAAATGGCTTGTCTGCATACTTCTTTTCACTTATATTCCTAGTTGTGTGTGCATGTGTGTATATATGCGCACATGTTCAGACTTTGTATTCACTTGACAGCGATCATCATCTATTTCGAACGCCAAAATTCTAAATTATTAAAATAAAATTTGCAGGGAAAGAAGTTCTAAAACCCTGTACATCTTTCTCAGACAATGCAGGAAAGTGTTTGAAAATCAGTACTGCAAGTCTGCTATCACACAGTGATTCTAGTCCCTCTAGGGAGACAAATTCGCAATATGAAAGGTCCAGCTTGTTTAAAACAGGAAGTCCCTCGGCGATACAAGCAACAATTTCATCATTGACTGACTGGATTCCAGCAAGGTATAGTTCCTTCAGCTTCTTCAAGTAATGAGCAATGTCATGGAGAGCAGAATGATTTATGTTAGTACCACTCAGATTTAGCAGCTCTAACTCTGTGAAATTATAAGCAAAGGTTTCGACATGTGTTTTTCCAATTCTAGAACAACCCATGAGAGACAGACGCTTCAAGTTCTTCCAGAAAGCAATATCCTCCAAATCATAGGCATCCACTCGCACAGACTTATCTAGGGTCAAGTGTTCCAGCTTTGCCAGATGCTTCTGTTTATCTTTTATCCATCGAGGCCGCCAAATGGTGCTGACAATTTTTAGGCAGGTGATGGACGGAGGAAGACTCTCAAAGGAAAGATTGTTTGTTCTACAGTCGTGAAGATGAAGCAGCCATAGATTTGGACAACAAGCAGCGAGTTCTTTTAGCATGGAGTCAGACAGCAAGGCCCTCCATCTTTTGTGGTTTCCTGTTTGAAATTATTAGAATAATTTCAATGGTAATGAATGTACTATATTATTATGATTTCATTATGATAATGATAACATATATTATGATTTTATTATGATAATGAAAACATTAACAACTAATAAAATATTAACCCTGTCCCCCTGTGAGAACAGACCAACTATCTTCCTAACATGCATGTCTTAAAAGGACCTAAAAGTTAAGGAACCAACAGTCTGCTTACAGATAACCCAGATTTGTAAAATGTATGTGCACACAAAACTCCAGTGAGATGGGGCTCTGGAATCTTCACGAGGAATATAACAATATAACTAAAATAAATAGTTATAACATTAAAATGGAAACAACAAACCTGCTTGTGCATAGCCTTGTATCTTCATTGTTAATAAACATGGAGAGAAATGAGTTCTGACAAACTTCCACATTGTCCGTAGGTCAAGACGGTACTCGAGCAGATCAACATGTCTCCACAAAGAGTTGTCAGAAACAATTCGGTTCCAAGTTTTGCAAACTCTGGACATGAAATATTACAAATGAAACAAATTTTGGAGGAAAGTGTCATGCAAAGCACATTTCAATACTTTGCTGTACATTAGGTATATGGTAAATGATACTTTTATACTTTTTTCCCCAGGCATATTGGGCACATAGTGCCTACATTATAGACCAATTGGTGTTCGGTGCGTAACATCCTGCCAGCGCCTTTACTTCCCAGGATATTACCTGGCTTCCGGTCAAAATGGACGCTAGGCAGGCCACTGTTTTTGGAGCCGAGGCAAATTTTTTGCTTCTGCTGGACGGTGGCTGATGCATTTTTGTTCCATTTGTAGACTGGATATAGTTTCGTTGCCCAGCTTTTGAGTTGAATGCATGCCGTGACACTGTGAGCTGCGGATTTCATTTGGAATGTTTTTTCGACTGTGACCGACGTGGTGGTGTGAAGTTTAGATTCAGAAAATGGCGCGATTCCTGTCGTCACAATTTTTTGTGGTGCCATTATGCGATTAAAATTGATCGCCTGGGCAACTGCAGATCTGTTGGTGACTTCTGCTACCATCAATGATGAACTGCATTTCTAATGTCAGACTGTTTGTGTTAGCACTTCGGATGGCTACCATATGCTTTAATGCGAGTGTATGCTAGATGCTAAGACAGCAGTCTGTCAATCTTTCCACAAGGGACTGTGATAAACATTCTGTGTGTTTTTCGTTGGCATGGGAGCGGAGCAAAGATGGGGTGACCCGTTTGCTATGAAGCTGAAACTAGGACTACCAGACCAGACCACAATTACCTGGTACTCATTTAAGGTTGGGTTGACCTGAGAGCCAAGGCGATTAAAAAAAAAAATTATATTAAAAATACAAGCCTTGCTTTATTGTGATCTGAACCCAGGAATTAGGTGAAAGTACTAACTAAACATTTTTACAATAAGCACTTGATCAGTGATGTAGTCATTATCATATCGGCTGCCTTTACTTTCTAAAAACACTTCAGTGCAAGACCATTTTTAAATAGCTTTCCATCCTAGAATTCGCACATGACCACCAGCCTCAGTAAACAAACTTTCCACCTTGATATGAAAAAGTCTAGAAGTTTCTGGAGAACTGCCTTATCTATCTTTATGGCCTGGCCCAAAAGCTGAGGTATTTTGGCCATCTTAAAATGCTTTCGCTTCAGGAGGCTCTCTGACCTTGAGATCTAAGGTCAATTCTGAGAAAACGAGCCAGGGGCTAACCTTATCAGGTGGTTCATTGTTGTCTCTCACAATGAAGGTTGGCTTGCAATGGTATCCAAACAACCTGTCTCTTGCCTTGATTACACTCAGTCATAGCTAAGAGATAATCTCTTGATTTTGTGAAATCATCTGTAACTGTATGCCTCTTGCTTCTACCTTGAACCTTTACTCTACTGTTACAAACTCTCCTTTTAACGGCCAAAATATTTCACTTGTCCTCATTTATTTCGTCTATGACTCTTGTGATTCCAATGTCCTCAGTACCTCTGCTTCTCGCTTTTGATTTGATGATCTTTGCAATCTTCTGTTATCCACAAACAAAGAAGGATTGTTTGTTACATTGTCCATGTCTCTGTGCCATAGAGTAAATGAGAAAGATAACATTTCACTAAGTGCCATTTTTAATGGGTGGTTTGCTTAAGTGAAAACATCCAGTAACTTTTGCATGTTGTTGAAAATGTTTTTGGCAATCCCTATTTTTTTCTTGACTGTGAAGGTGGATACAGAACACTGAAAATGCAATGAAGAACTAAAGTATCTTCACCATGGAGGTTATGATGATCAGCTTTAGCCACTCCAATGAGAAAGTCTAGAAGTTTCTGGAGAACTGCCTTATCTATCTTTATGGCCTCCCTCTCATCTAAGGGCTTTAACATTCAACACAGCTTTATCTAACAAGTCTGGCGGTGCCCTTGGTACAATGTCTACCCAGGTGTCACAAACCACTTCCTGTATCACCATTTTTCAAGAAATCTTAGTGATTTTGTGTTCATCTTCAACCATATGCTAATCATTTATCTTATTTCCTGTTATGGTCTCTTTAACGCAACGTTCATTTGTCGTCTATGATTGTGACAATTTGATGCTTTCTAGTTCTGCTTCTTGTCTGATTTGATGATCTTTGCAAGTTACAAAACAAAGAGGATTGAAGTTTTAAGAAAGTCCAGAGATATTGAAAAACAGAACTCACATTGACTGACTGTGGTTTGAGGAAGTTTCCACTTCCAAGAGTACCCTCTGCCTTCTGAATAGTGGCTGTCAACTGTTTAATGCCGTCAGGGACATTGCCTTTGGATAATAGTGTCTCCATGTTGTAGTGACCCTTTGATACAGTTCTTCATAGTTGTGGTGACCAGTTTGAACAAGTTCTTAATGTTCATCTATACCTGTTTTCTTATAGTCCTTGCCACTTGATGTTTCCATGTTCATGTTGTATACTGTTGCAGTTGGCGATAATAGGCTTATTCTGACCAGGTGACCAAACCATTTCAGTCTTTGTTTTTCAATTAATCGAATTACAGGTGTTGTTACCACCATTCTAATAATATCTTTGTTTCCTTTATGGTCTCTTTTTGTTATGTTGATTTCTTTTCTCAAACATCTAATTTCACACGTTGTTTGTTTATGCTCTTGTTTCTTTTGTGAGTGCCAAGGTTTGGTGTTGGTAACACAATGTTGGTAAACAGACTGCATTGATGACTGTGATTATTTAGTTTCCACTGGTATTACCTTAGACCAGTGGCTCTCAACCTTCCTAATTCTGCGACCCTTTGATATAGTTCTTTATGTTGTGGTGACCCTTTGATACAGTTCTTTATGTTGTGGCAACCCTTTGATATAGTTCTTTATGTTGTGGCAACCCTTTGATATAGTTCTTTATGTTGTGGTGACCCTTTGATACAGTTCTTTATTTTGTGGTGACTCTTTGATACAGTTCTTTATGTTGTGGTGACCCTTTGATACAGTTCTTCATGTTGTGGTGACCCTTTGATACAGTTCTTTATGTTGTGGCAACCCTTTGATATAGTTCTTTATGTTGTGGCGACCCTTTGATACAGTTCTTCATGTTGTGGTGACCCTTTGATATAGTTCTTCATGTTGTGGCGACCCTTTGATACAGTTCTTCATGTTGTGGTGACCCTTTGATATAGTTCTTCATGTTGTGGCCACCCTTTGATATAGTTCTTTATGTTGTGGCCACCCTTTGATATAGTTCTTTATGTTGTAGCGACCCTTTGAAAAAGTTCTTCATGTTGTGGCGACCCTTTGATATAGTTCTTCATGTTGTGGCGACCCTTTGATATAGTTCTTCATGTTGTGGCCACCCTGTGATATAGTTCTTCATGTTGTGGCGACCCTTTGATACAGTTCTTCATGTTGTGGCGACCCTTTGATATAGTTCTTCATGTTGTGGCGACCCTTTGATATAGTTCTTCATGTTGTGGCCACCCTTTGATATAGTTCTTTATGTTGTGGCGACCCTTTGATATAGTTCTTCATGTTGTGGCGACCCTTTGATATAGTTCATCATGTTGTGGCGACCCCCAAACATGCAATTATTTTCTTTGCTACTTCATAACTTCAATGAATATGTGTTCTGTGATGGTCTTTGGCGACCCCTGTGAAAGAGTGTTCGATCCAAAAAAAAGGGATCTCGGTCATAAAAAAGGGGTCTTGACCCACAGGTTGAGAACCGCTACCTTAAACACTCATAATTGATGGGAGAGACGAAAGGTGCGGTTGCATCCACAATATTGGAAAGATCGCAAGAATATAAAGAAACTGAAGAACTGGCTCAAGCACTATATCAAGTATAAACAACACAACAGTATGTGATAATGTTTTTGCCCGCGGATAACGCTGTCTATGTAAGCTGTCATATATAAAGAAGATGATTATACATATGATGTGTAACCTTACCTCCGTACCCGACAGCGATTGTCTATGGGTAGGTATCGCAGAATTTCCAACATTATATTCTCTGGCAGGTTTTCAATGGTGGTTTCACCATAAGCGATTCGACGATCACAATCCGGTCATGTTTGAATGCAGTATTTATTTATGAAACCACCCAGAAGCGCTAAACAAAACAACACAAAACTTAGACTGACTTACTATGACAGTTCTTTAGTTCGTTTTCAAGTGAGCTGACCATTTCGTGTCTCCCGCCGTCATCGTGGATCTGTTGTTAGTTGGAGATTTTGTTTCGTTGCTGTTAATCCAAATTATAGAAATCAATGCTGTTTTGCTTGACCACAACTCAAGTGTCCGGCCCAGGTTTTCGGTCTTTCGGCAGGTGTTAGTATTTACCCCGTGTGTTCAGTCACTTCCCCAAGTGTTCAGTCTCTCCCCCAAGTGTTCAGTATCTCCCCAAAGTTTCCTGACTATCAGTATTAGAACTCAGCGCTGGCTGCTGAACATGGGGACGGAGAAAGCATAGGGAATGTCATGAGTGCTGTGATGTCAATTGTTGACTCAACCCAAGTGTCCCGTCGCATTGCCAAGTGTCCAGTCTCTCCCCAAGTATTCAGTCTATTCAGTCTCTTCCTCAAGGTTCCCCCCCCCAGTGTTCAGTGTCCCCAGTGTTCTCTCCCCAAGTGTTCAGTCTCTTCCCCAAGTGTTCAGTCTCTTCCCCAAGTGTTTAGTCTCTTTCCCAAGTATTCAGTCTCTCCCTCAAGTGTTCAGTCCCTTCCCCAAAGTGTCTGATCTCTTCTCTAATTACCCGATATCTTCTCCATGTGTCATATCTTCCCCAGGTTTTCAGTCTCTCCTTAAAGTGTTCAATATCTTTCCCAGGTATTCAGTCTCTCTCTCTCAAGTGTCCCGTTGCATTCTCTCTCCCCAAGTGTCCAATCTCTTCTCTCTACTCGATCTCTCAAGTGGGTACGTTGCATTGCCAAGTGTTCAGTCACATCCCCAAGTGTCCAATCTCTTCTCTAATTACCCGATATCTTCCCCAAGTGTTCAGTCTCTTCCCCAAGTATTCAGTATCTTTCCCAAGTGTTCAGTATCTATCTCTTTAATATAGTACATTGTGTACAAATAACATATAATCCAACCATACTATCAATACAAGGCTCCCGTGTCTTCGCAATGCAGAGTATAATTGGCAAACTGCTAGAAAAGATAGTTTGGAAAGAAAATATGCAATCTTGAACAGTTATGTCTCCTTCTACCCAGCTGGGAGGATATCGCTTAAACAGAACGTCCTGTGGAAATGGACCAATCTTTGTTTATGATGCATACGAAGGTTTCCAACCAGGAATGGAAACATGTTTTCATGACCGTACGCTAGATTTTCTCGGTATGATGTCTTCAGAATTCCGCTCCTTAAATATCGTTCCTCTAAAGTGAAATTCAATTGTTGTGTATATATATATATATATAAAAACAGCACAAAATGGTACGAATACTATTTTGGTTTGGAAAATATAGACTACTTTAAAATAATGATATCAATTACAACAATCTACTTCAGTTATACCCTTTTTAACTTAACCAATTCTTTGGATTTTTTCTCCAGGCAATACCGGCGTGGCGGTAACGAACAGGCAGACAGATTGGCTGGATATGCGCAACTGGGTGGTATATTGATACATGACAAGGCAGATGAGGTCAAGGCCCTTAAGGAATAAGCAAATATAGAAGATTATTATGGCCTTTCCAGAGGAAAGGCAAGACGGACATATAAGCAGATTGTGACCGGTACCATCAGTATTGTAAGTCTGCGCTGGGTGCTGAAGATGAGGGCGGAGCATGCTTGGGAATGCCCCGAGTGCTGTGATGTCATTTCTTGACTAAACCAAATTCGTTAATTATGGATGTATAGTGTAATGGCACCTTATTCAACATGAATTATTACAGAATTCTCCGTTGTCATATATGGAACTTTTTCTGGCACATTTTGAGAAGTTAGGTTTTGAGTTGAAGTGACCTAGAGAGCGAGACTACAACAACGGATCTAACGTGAAAGGAATAAGAAATGGTGTACAAGACATTGTACACAGACACAGTTAAAGCGACAGAGAGCAAAGCTATGACAACGGATCTAACGTGAAAGGAGTAAGAAATGGTGTACAAGACATTGTACACAGACACAGTTAAAGCGACAGAGAGCAAAGCTATGACAACGGATCTAACGTGAAAGGAATAAGAAATGGTGTACAAGACATTGTACACAGACACAGTTAAAGCGACAGAGAGCGAGACTACAACAACGGATCTAACGTGAAAGGAATAAGAAATGGTGTACAAGACATTGTACATAGACACAGTTAAAGCGACCGAGAGCGAGACTATGACAACGGATCTAACGTGAAAGGAATAAGAAATGGTGTACAAGACATTGTACATAGACACAGTTAAAGCGACCTAGATAGCGAGACTATGACAACAGATCTGACGTGAAAGGAGTAAGAAATTGTGTACACAATAGAACACTTGAAAAATATCCAAAGACGTTTTGTGTGCCCTGCACTTGTTATTCTTTATAACGTGTTGTGAATGACGCAGTGCTGTTTTCTACAGAAACGTTTGTTTACAGCCTATTGTACAAGAGATCTGTTCCAGGCAATCAGGGATTGTGATTTGTGGAGACTCATGGGTGCCTACGCCAGTTGGCAGGTCACATGATGATGATAAGAAATTTACTCTTTCTTTAAAAACAATATATATATAAGCTTCACGTTGTCAGATCAACATTATTTTGATTTCATTGATTGAAAGGTCGTGGGTTCGCTCCCTGGCGCAGCCGGACTTTTTAAAAAAATTACCTTGGCTCCTAGCCTTGACTGGCTACCAGGTGCAGTCCTGGGAAGTAAAGGTGGCCGGCGTGATGCTGACCACATCACCCATCTTGCGTTGATTGGTCTATAAAAATATAAGTTTAGCCCTATACGCCTAAAGGCGTGGAAAAGGGTCCCTCACTATGTTTTACTTATACCGCCCCGGGAGCTGGTTGCTAAGGGACTTCAGATAGAACCTGTTCGCATAAGCAGGTGGTGTGATGAATGAAGCAGGAGCGGTCGTTAAAGAGCGGTTTTACTAAAACGGATGTGCACGCAGTACTCAAGTTCTGGATCAAGACTAGAGTTCATAGTGAACGAACAACCAGAACTTAGCGCCGAAGTTTACAGACAGTCAACGCGAAGAACACAGTTATTTCTCGATCTCCTGTTGGTGTCTGTGGCTTAAGCGTTGCAAACGCATTTCGTAATCTTGGGGTGCTGTGTTCAGTCCTAGCTGCAGGCGATTTGGCAGCAGACCGCCTATGTTGGTTTCGACAGTGGTATCGGGAGCTGTCTGCTTATTCAATTTTAATTTTATGAAATTCCACACAGCCCTGCTATGAGAGAACCAAATCTACTCAAGTCAGAGGCGAATGTTGTAGCACAAAGCCACTACCATCTCAGTTTATTGTCTTCACTATAACAACACCATGCACGCAAATACAAGAGAAACGACTAAACACAGAGATTGCCAGAAAACAAATATATTTCAATAGTAACAAAAAGCATGCTTAAATGCGACAACATTCACTGGTATAATCATATTCTTTTTTGAAAACTTTTTTAAAAAAGCACAATAATGACCTGAAAAGATATCACAGACATGTCAATAAGGCATCATTACTGTTTCAACAGGCAAGAGGAAGACAGCCTCAAATGACAGAAGCAACCAATTCCAGAGCCTACATGGGCAATGTGTTTATTTGCTGCTATACAAACATTTATCACAGCTTACACAGACAATGTCTTTGCTGCACCACAAAGCTATACCACAGCTTAAACAGTGTCTTTGCTGCTACAGACATATACCAAAGTTTACACAGTGTCTTTGCTGCTACACAGACATATACCACAGCTTACACAGACAGTGTCTTTGCTGCTACACAGACATATACCACAGATTACACAGACAGTGTCTTTGCTGCTACAGAAATATACCAAAGCTCACAGTGTGTCTTTGCTGCTACACAGACATATACCACAGCTTACACAGAGTGTCTTTGCTGCAACACAGACATATACCACAGCTTACACAGACATTGTCTTTGCTGCTACACAGGCATATAGCACAGCTTACACAGACATTGTCTTTGCTGCTACACAGATATATAGCACAACTTACACAGAGTGTCTTTGCTGCTACACAGACATATAGCACAGCTTACACAGAGTGTCTTTGCTGCTACACAGGCATATAGCACAGCTTACACAGACATTGTCTTTGCTGCTACACAGACATATAGCACAACTTACACAGAGTGTCTTTGCTGCTACACAGACATATAGCACAGCTTACACAGAGTGTCTTTGCAGCTACACAGACATAAACCACAGCTTACACAGTGTGTCTTTGCAGCTACACAGACATCTACCACAGCTTACACAATGTCTTTGCTGCTACACAGACATATACCACAGCTTACATAGACAAGGTCTTTGCTGCAACACAAACAACTACCGCAACCTACACAATGTATGTATTTGCTGCCCAATATACAGCAGCTTACACAGACAATGTCTGCATTTGCTACAACATCTAGAACACCTTACACAGACAATGTCTGCATTTGCTACAACATCTAGAACACCTTACACAGACAATGTCTGCATTTGCTACGACATCTAGAACACCTTACACAGACAATGTCTACATTTGCTGCCACATCTAGAACACCTTACACAGACAATGTCTGCATTTGCTGCCACATCTAGAACACCTTACACAGACAATGTCTGCATTTGCTGCCACATTTAGAACACCTTACACAGACAATGTCTGCATTTGCTACTACATCTAGAACACCTTACACAGACAATGTCTGCATTTGCTGCCATATCTAGAACACCTTACACAGACAATGTCTGCATTTGCTACCACATCTAGAACACCTTACACAATGTCTGCATTTGCTACCACATCTAGAACACCTTACACAGACAATGTCTGCATTTGCTACCACATCTAGAACACCTTACACAGACAATGTCTGTATTTGCTGCCACAGCTAGAACACCTTACACAGACAATGTCTGCATTTGCTACCACATCTAGAACACTTACACAGACAATGTCTGTATTTGCTGCCACATATATTTGTGTATATAAAGATCTTAGCAATTAATAAAGGCTTCAGTTGCATCATGTTATGAAAAGAAGAAAACTAGAACATGTTGTGACCACTAGAAAGATCTATGTAAAGAGATAAAGGGAAAGGCAACATGATAAGATTCTTGACAGCCTTCTATCATGGCATGGAGGGGTTTTAACCTATGAACTGATACACGCGGTTGTGGATTGCGGAGTGGCACACGCCAGTCGGCAAAGCACTTGATGATGGCGATATAGTCATATACTTTATAGTTTATTGTGTAAACATGCCATACTGTCAAGCTGCTTCTGGTGCAGTCGGAAGTGAAATGTCACTTCATGCTCAAGATAGGAACGTAGCACTTATTGGAATATTCACAGTGCTGTTCTGTTGGTTCTTAGTTTGTGAGGGGGAAGGGGAAGGAAGGGGTGCTTCAAGCAGAAATAGAATTACTTTGAACAGTGACTCTAAGGGATGCAATCTGTTGTAACCTGTAAATGCCGACCCTAGGGGACGTAATGCATTGTTTGTGTAAGTTCACATAATAAGTAAAGTGAAGGACCCTATTCCACGCCTTTCAAGCATATAGGGTATATAGGGCTAGACCTATAATTTATTGACCAAATGGCACTTGGTGGATGATGTGGTCAGAACTGTATCTGGTAACCACTAAAAGCTGGGTTGACCTGGCAGCCAAGGTCATGGGAACTGAACCCATGACCTTCCAATCTGCAGGCGAGTGTCTAGCTGCTAGACCATGGCTCCAAGTCCACATATTATTATTCTTTAACAACGATCTGTTGTAACCTGTAAAAGCCAACCCTAGGTGACTTATAGCATTGTTTGTGTAAGTCTCTCTCTTGTTGTACCCCACCAGGAAATCACACAAGCTATAAACACCCGGTATCACAAAGTGCCATTATGCAGATAAGGATCAACCGTGGAAAGGTCCCAGAAACCCCTTAGGCCATATTCAGGGCCCCTGACAAAAGCCAGGGTGGGGCTTCAAATAACGAAAAAATTGCATCCCACATGGGGATGTCTAATATTAATTTCTGAAGTCCACATAATAATATTCTTTAATATTTATGACTGTTTGAAATTAGGGTAAAGGTTAGAGACATGGCTAACCTTAATCCAAACACTAACCTAAAGCCATATTAAAGGTTACAGAACATTATTATGTGACCATACACAAACAACAGATTGCGTCCCTTACGGTCGCCGTAAACCAATAAGAGAAACTTTGTAAAACCTAGTTTGCAGGAGAGTGTGACCTTGGGGTAAAGAATCCATGGGATACAATAACTGACTACACTACGAACAGGCCAGGTGCTCCGCCAAAGTTAACATGGGGGGGGGGGGGGGGGAGGAGAAATGGCCGTTACAAATTTTCTAGGTAACAATTAAGGGCCAGCACTCAGGCACCCCCCCCCCCCATAAGTGAACATTAGGTGGGACTAAAACCTTGACCCCCCCCCCCCCCCCACTTTTTCCCCCACTAGGTAAGAAAACATTGCTGCTGGTGTGGTGGCCATTTTGGATGTCTAATGGTAACTTCTCTGGAGGTTGAAGGGAGCATTTGTGATCTACCCTGTTGGTCTGCCGTCCAGGATGAAATCTGGGAATGGTAGGGTAAACCGTTGGGTAGCAGCATGGAAGGGACAAACTGATTTATTCATCAATGTGCGGGCATGTGTACATAAGTTACTATATCTGCAAATATGTCAAAATATGTGGTTATACACCGATAAACATTTATGTTCAATGTGAGCAGTATGAATAGACGTACATGTTTTAATGTGTGCAGTGAATGGTACACAGACGTAATATATGACTTAATGTGTAAACTGCTACACACACACAGAGATATGTCTAAATGTGTGCAGTGTTACATAGATTTACGCATATATGTCTAAATGTGTGCAGTGTTACACAGATTTACGCATAAATGTCTAAATGTGCACAGTGTTACACAGATTTACACATATATGTCTAAATGTGTACAGTGTTACACAGATTTACACATATGTCTAAATGTGCACAGTGTTACACAGATTTACACATATGTCTAAATGTGCACAGTGTTACACAGATTTACACATATATGTCTAAATGTGTGCAGTCTACAAATACACGCCTGACACAGATTCCAGCTAGTATCTTTCTCGTGACTCTCTAAAAAAAAAAAAATTCTTGCCCACACAGTGTTTGGCAACAGCACTAGCCATACATTCCTAAATCTTCAGGTTCTTACTCTTCTATGTTTCTCCAAAGATATTTTATGGTAATGTTTTGTTCGTTTAAAATTAGTATGTATTCATAATTCATGATTTTGTGTTTCCTGCAATATGTAAGACATTATAAATGTTATCTTAAAATGTGAACAACATTTTCATTTGTAGACTTCCTTTTATTTAATGATACAAATGAGGTAGGAATTGAGTATTTATAGAACTCCAGCATTTTTGTTATCCGTCTACTCTTCATCTACATTAGGATGCATATTGCAAAGTCATAAAATAAAAAAAAAGAAATAATAATTTAAAAAAAAAAAAAAAAAAAAAAAAAAAAGAAGTAACAATTAGTAAAGAAATTCTGCTACAAAAGATGCTTTAGAATTAAAATGAAGAAATACAGACCCAAAAAAAAAAATGGTTAACAAAATTAAAATACATGAAATAAACAAATCAGGTGGCTGGCTTTCATAATATGCTACAAAAATACTCAGAAGTTTCAAAAATATAAATTAAAACATGGACAATAAGCAAACATTAAAACTGAATTCCACATCAACAGACTGCCAAATGGGGGGGGGGGGGGGGGGGGGGGGGAGTATTATATTACAGAAACAAAAAGGATCATCCAATAAACTAAATCTCTACGTCCTTTTACATCAGAAACCTACTGAAAAAAGGCCATAAACATAGGAATTACCCCCCCCCCCCCCCGAATTTTTTTTAAACCACTTTACACAGGTCACTAATATATATTTACCCAAAAAAAAAAAAATACATGTTGAACAGAAAATTCCCCTGCACCTAAACAAATTGCAACTGATAATGTGACCCTGTTGCTTTGTGACAGCTATAGACTGAATTATGATATCCTCATACAGAAAAGCTTTAAAAAAAAAAAAACTATTTTTAGTAAATATATACTTGTCGGGGACTAGCCAAATACAGCAATGCTGGTTGTATGGTTTCACAAGGATTTGTAATGGACAGTTCTGGTAAATTATTACTGTCTCGGAGCAAAAGGGTCTAAACAGAAAAGTGATAAACAGTTATGGATTGTTACTGTTCCTAAAGTCAAGTATTCCCTTTGTCTTGTTCACTGGTGAAGACTTTAGTCAAAACATTCACTTGCTGTGTGTGTGTGTGTGTGTGTGTATCCATTCCCTAAGCTTCTTGATTGTTTTATTTTGTTGTACAGACATTTATTCACATCAGTTTAAACAGCAGTCACTCATTATTTCCAAAACCCAAATACTATGCTATCAAAATAAAATCTTCAGGAAAACCACTTTTCAAAGTCTGTATCTCTGTTTCTGACAACCTTTTCAGGCGTTCAACAATCAACACTGATAATTTGCTAATGAATAATGATTCTAGTCCTATCATTGTTATGCGTGGACAATATGAAATGTCCAGCTTGTTTAACACTGGAAGTCCCTCGGCTATTGTAGCAAGAGCTCCGTTACTGACCGATGGGCATTTGGCTAGACTCAGTTCCTTCAGCTTAGTCAAGCAGGCAGCAATGTGATGGACTGCCAAGTCATCTATGTGAGTACCACTAAGATTTAAAAGTTCTAACTCTGTCAAATGATCAGCAATGGTTTTCACACCAGATGTCCCTAACCTATAGCATCCCATAAGAGACAAACATTTCAAGCTCTTCCAGAAAGCAATGTCTTCCAAATCATAGGCATCCACCTGCACAGACTTTAGGGTCAAGTGTTCCAGCTTAGCCAGATGCTTCTGTTTATCTTTCATCCATCGAGGCTGCCAAAAGGAGCTGACTATTTTTAAGCATGTGATGGATGGAGGAAGACTAGCAAAAGAAATGTTGCTGGTTCCACAGTCATGAAGATGAAGCAGCTGCAGGTTTGGACAGCGGGCAGCCAGATTTTTCAGCATGGCATCAGAAAGTGGGGCTCTCCAGCTTTTGTGGTCACCTATTAAAAAATATTAGAATAATTTAATGATAATAAATATACTAAATTATTACAGTAAAATCTTATTAACATGGATTATAAAGGACCAAAAAGTCGAGTGTTTGCGTAAAACAAATTCGTGTTAACTCTGAACCAATAATAATACATCCTTGAGAGGCCCAAAATTGTGTTCATATTAACCGAGTGTTCTTTTTAAGTGAGGTTGTATTAATCAGATATCTGTATTATGATTATAGTTACAGCAATCATAACATCAACAACAAATCTCCTTCTTCTGCGTTCATCCATACATAAATGCAATGTGCCCTCTTACAACATGGCTGAGACATTTGCGCTTTTTGGCTGACACATCCAACTTGTGCAGACATTTCTTGTCTGGATTGACCTTTCCGGATAAACAACTTGTGAAGACTGTTGTCTGGATTGACCTTTCAGGATAAACAACTTGTGCAGACATTTGTTGTCTGGATTGACCTTTCAGGATAAACAACTTGTTAACACATTTGTTTGGATTGACCTTTCCGGATAAACAACTTGTTAAGACATTTGTTGTCTGGATTGATCTTTCCGAATAAACAACAAAGAATAATCTTCTTCTTCTTAGAGTCCATGCCATGTAGTGTTGGTAGTCATGTCTGTCCACAACCTTCTGTCTCGTGTACTTTCAATCAACTATGACACAGATTATTCCAAGCCATCATGTCAAACTGTTCAACATCTGTTTTCTCAGTCTCCCTCTGCCTCTCCTTCTATCCAACTTTCCTATAGTAACACTGTACTCCAGTTTTCTCCTTATCACATGACCATAGAATGTAGATTGTGTCTTTCTGATACAGGCAGTCAGTTCTTTTCCTAAGCCAAATAATAATAATGATTAAATATTAAACAAATCTTGCTCTGTTCTGCAGGGGACCACTGAGGGCATCACTTGCAGCTGAATGGGTATAAATGATGACACAAAAATTGAAGTAGTGTAAGGATGGGTATAAATGATGACACAAAAATTGAAGTAGTGTAAGGATGGGTATAAATGATGACACAAAAATTGAAGTAGTGTAACTAGGCACTCAGGCTGACCTGGTGAGTAAAAGATCTAAGAAATCGGATGTGCCAACTCTAAAGCACAAACATCATAGCTCTGTTGTAATTTTAAACATAACAATGCAATTACAGTCAAAGTAAGTTAGTAAGTTAATTAATTAGTCGACAGATTATCCTCATTGCACAAACCACTCAGTCCATAAGAGCTCAGATTTCCTGCTCAGTAAATCCTGCAGCATGTAGCGGCTGACGAAACCAGCCCTGTGTTAGCTTCTTATTCTTCTTTGGCTTCCTGCATAGTACTCTTATCTGGCCACACCACCTTTTAATAGATTGTTGTTGCAGTCTGCTCATGGTTGCAGATTCACAGTCGTCACTTGATTCTCGCAAACATCTCACTTCTCGTAAAGCATTCAGTATACCAACATGGTCCATGGCAAGTCCGCCCAAACCTCGCAGCAATTAAAAAGGGGAAAATAGATCATTATCCAACATCTGATATTCTTTTTAGTTAGCATTTGCTCCAATGTGGCAGGCTGGTTTTTTCTGGAGCCTCACCTGGGCTGTTGTCGAGGGCCCTAAATATAACCTATTGGTTAAACAGGGTTTCAGGGACTTGCACCCAAGTGATTCTCATCTCAGTGGTGGCCCTTTGTCATTCGTTGTGCGGTCCTGGTTCGGTTGAACGTCAGTTAGTCTATATTGTTTATGTAACAATATGTTATCATCATCATCCCATAACACTGTCATTGGGTCACAGGTAGCTGGTGTGGACAGCCTGATATATTCCCTATTTTTCTTTTAGTCAAATACAACTGCAAATATCTTGCCTCTCTAGGCTGCCAATTCTGTAACCTGGTCTGTCTTTTTTTCTTCCCTCCTTCCTTCTAGTGAGTACTGTAATTTCATTTTGGAGAAGCCAGTAGATCTTTTAAATAGTATGAATTGAAATAAAAACAGCTATAAAATTATAAAAAAAAATAACAAACCTGCTAGCACATGACCTCGAATCTTCATTGTTAAAAGACATGGAGAGAAATGGGTTCTGACAATTTTCCACATTGTCCGCAGTTCCAGACGGTATTCCAGCAGATCAACGTGTCTCCATAAAGAATTGTCAGAAAGAACTCGGCTCCAATTTTTGCAAACTCTGGACATCAAAGATTGCAAATTGTTAAACATGATTACTGATGAGTCTACAGATGCTAAAAATGATAACACTGAGCAGAAAGACTTCAACTAACAATTCAGGTGAGTGGATTAATGTGGTAACTATCTGTGACAGAAGAGAGACAGAAATATGCACTCTCCTGGGACTAAGTAATGAATGTATGAGAAGTTGTGTGCTACTAAAGAGTTAATCGTCTTTTCTTCTTCTTCACATTCACTAGCTGTACACTCCCAGGAAACGTTCTTGTTCATCTCCAATACACTCATTTTTTTGGTATGGGTCATCTGTGTGCAAACTGTTGATTCCTTGGCTCTCAGAAACATGCGCTCTGATATTAAGGAAACTGCAATCATGTTCATGATGGCCCCGGCTTGCAGTGTGGAAGCTGTGTCTAGGCTGACGTGCAGACAGGTCTTGATCAGTATACTATGGTCCTTGTACACCATCTCTGCATCCTGAAAGAGTAATGAACTGTTGGAGATCTTCTTCGCGTTCACAGGCTGTAAACTCTGGACTGACTGACTTTCTACCCCACCAGGACATCACACAAGCGACAAAACACCCGATGACACAATGTGACCCCATGCCGGTGAGGATCACCGTGGAGAGGTCACAGAAACCGCGTTCAGCCCATAGGCCATATTTATGGCCAGGATATATTGCGGCCCCTGGCAAGAGCCAGAGTAGGACTTCATATAATAAAAATTTCCTCCTAAAAGGACGATACAGATATAGTAGCATATGCGAACTCTGGACTGAGTGAGTGAGTGACTTTCTACCCCACTAGGACATCACACAAGCGATAAACACCCGATGACACAATGTGCCACCATGTGGATGAGGATCACTGTGGAGAGGTCCCAGAAACCGCGTTCAGACATTTGGCCATTTTTATGGCCTACCTATATTGCGGCCCCTGGCAAAAGCCAGAGTGGGGCTTCAAATAACAAAAAATTACGTCCTGAGAAAGACGTAAGGATTGAATGAACTCTGGACTTTAGTCTTATTCCAGAACCTGAGTGCCGCATGCACATCCAATTAACAGTTCTGACTTTACTGTGTGCAGACTGTTGGTTCCCTGCCTCTCAGGCAGACGCACTCCGACTTTGAAGGTAGCCCCCAATTAGTCGACTCTTACGACATGCTTTTTGGGGAGGCAGTGGGTCTATTCTTGTTTTCCCCACCATGGGGCCCCTGAACCCACACGAGGATACTGTTGGAGATGACTGGGGTTGTTTCCCCTTGGTGTCTGAGGCACCAGAAAACTGAAAGTGAGGTGACTGATGCATTTATAAGGGACATAACAATTCAGCAGTCTGCTGTCAGATCTACAAAAAGATTTTTTTGAACGTGAAGTAAACGATGCAATCTCTTATTGGCACCCTACTCCAAGACGTGGAGTCGTACACCTATTTGGGCAGTAATGTAGATAGAGATGGGGGAACTGATAGAGATATTAAAATAATAATACAAAAGGCAAGAGGGGCTTTCATAGCACTAGGGAATTTGTGGTCAGAAGAAATACTAAACTTAAAATTTTTAATTCTAATGTCAAATCAGTACTTTTGTATGGGGCGGACACATGGAGAACAACTAAGGCAATTACTAATAAATTACAAACATTCATTAATAGAGGGAATTAAATTGTATGATAGAATAACTAATGTAGAGCTTTGGGAGAGAACTAAACAGGCTCCAGAGGACTAAGAGGTGAGGAAAAGACGCAGGCGTTGGATAGGACGCACACTGAGAAAACAGGAGATGAGCATAACTAGAATGTCTTTGCATTGGAACCCACAGAGGCATTGAAATAAAGAAAGGCAAAAAAAAAACTCATGGAGAAGAGAGCTGGAGAATGAGGTTAGAAAGATGGGGAGGACATGGGGAGAGCTCTATGCAATGGCGAAGGTAGTACGACTTGGGCGTGAGTCCAGTGTGAACTTGTTCTTTGAGCCAAATGAAAAGTGAGTACTGTCCATGGTTTTACCAACTTTAAGGAAGTAATGTGAAAATTTCATTGAATCTGAGTGAGTTGTTTTCAAAATATACGCATTTATTAAGTATTAACTTTCGGCACTCTGCTGAATACCGGTCCCAAATTATTCACTGCGAAAAACGTCCCTTGAGAGCCTTAAGCCGTTATGTAGTAAAACAATTAGGCCATCATAATCAGTATCCACCGCTGCTGTTAATGTTATTGCTCGATGGATAGCAATGTTTAAACGTTAAGCTAAGCGCTGTGGGGAGAAAACAGATACTGATCCACTGTTTAAGTCTCGTGGGGAGTAGTAGTCTTCAATCCATTAAAGCAGCGTGGGAAGGAATAATTTTTTATCCATTGTTCACATTACCCGTGACTCGTCTTGTGGGTTCCAGGGCCCACGGGGGGGGGGGGGGGGGGGGGGGGGGGGAGAGAATAGATCCACTGCCACCAAAATAGTATGTTGTAAAAGGCGATTCATAGGACTGCTGAATTCGGGTGTGTTGGGGCAAAAAGCGCAGACTAGCTGTAAAGCACAGCATAAAGTGTCAACCGCCCTTTTAAGGGCTTAAAAAATTATCACCCAGCGGAGAATGGTTCACCAGTCACCCGCATGACAGGTCGAATACTTACAACTGTACCAACCGAAGACTGGAGACTTTGGTTCAAAGGAAATTATATAAACGCGAAACATATAGTTTGTAGTATTCCTTTTCCATATTTTTAACTATATGACCTCTTAAGGCCCTGAATGGGGATTTTTTAAACAAACAATGAATAATTTGGGACCGGTATTCAGAAAACTTTTTTGAAAAGTGCCCAACTTTCTTTTGCAATAGTGTATGTGTATGTATATATATATATATTTACTACAACATAAAAGTGTCACCAGCAAAGGAGAAATGAAATTTGGAATGTGGAATATTAGGAGCATGTATCAGGGAAAGCTTACCATCGTTAGTAGATAATATAAAAGAAACAATCAATGACTCCTTGAATAAGAAAAAGTGCACGAGGCAAGAGAGTCAAGCGACCGAGTTTCTTTCAGGCAGACAGTGATGAGTGCGGACATTCTGAAGACGTTCTGACATGCTACATGGTTTAGTTTAGATGACGGATCAACATCATGGCACAAGGGTAGTATAGTAAAACAGTGCTCCATTCTACTTCTGACTCATCAAGACTGAGTCCGAAGAGTCTCAACACAGTGCACAACTCTGTAGCACCAGCAAGGATCCTGAAATTACATTGGGTTGATTTTTAACTCCAAATTTTGCCCAGGCAGCACTGTTAGGCTACTTCTTTTTAGATTTCCAACTGCCAATGAATTTTTTTACGTGCGCAACAAAAATATACAATCCGACCTCACTACCCAGAGGTTAGGTTAGTTGCGTATCCTTTGAAGGACGTTCACAACTCCCAACATGTTGTGTGGTTTTTCTAGGCAAATTTACGTCCAGTAGTTTGCCATTGCTTTCTGGACGGCCGGCTTTATTGATACCATACCACTGTCGAAACCAACGCAAGGACGCATGGCCCGCAGCTAGGGTCGAACTCAGCATTCAGCATTACGAAGCGTTCGCATCGACTTAGCCACAGAGCCGACCACTACCCAGAGACCTGGACAAATTACTGGAATCCTAGCCATCACCGGGATTTGAACCCGGGACCTCCAGCACTCGAGGGCTGACACCGACACCATGCCTAAAGACCGCATGGTGATGATATATGACACGCTACATCGTGATGATATGTGTGTGCGTATAATAAACATTTATATATGTGCGTGTGTGTAAATCTGAACTTACCTCCGTGAACGGCATCGATCTTTCATCGACAGGTATCGCAGAATGTCCAACAAAATATTTTCTGGCAGTTTTTCTATGGTGGTTTCGCCAGCGATTTGTTTCTCTAGGTTCAGTCTCATGTTTAAAAGCACAGATTATGTCTAATGTATATTATCGCAACTTAACTGAAAACCTCAACAAAACAAAACTAAACTTGAATTGATAAATTATGGCAGATTTCAGTTTGTTTTGGGTGAGTAGACCCAACACCGTGTCCACATGGATCGGACTTGACGATTTCGTTTCGTCGTTGTCAATAGTTGTGATAGTTTTAAAGAAATTTATGTTTCATACTTAAACAAAACAGGTGCATCAAACTCCTCCCATACTGGACTACACTTAACCTGACAGCCGTTTTGTGGTGTCTCACTATTAGCTATGTCATATACTTACGGTTACATGGTGTTTCTGAAATTTACATTGCAAATCTTGATGTACCAAATAAAACAATTTAATTTAAAAAAAAAACGCGCAGATATCTGGCACTCACTTTCTTCTCCACGTGTTCCGTCTTTTTACTAAATGCGCAGTCTCTTCGCCGTGTGTTCTGTTTATTCTCCAGGCGTTGTTGAGTCTCTCCTCCAGGTGTTCAGTCTCTTCCCCAGGTGTTCAGTCTCTTCCCCAGGTGTTCAGTCTCTTCCCCGGGTGTTCAGTCTGTCCCCCAAGTGTTCAGTTTCTTCCCCAGGTGTTCAGTCTGCCCCCAGGTGTTCAGTCTGTCCCCCAGGTGTTCAGTCTGTCCCCGGGTGTTCAGCCTGTCCACCAGGTGTTCAGTATCTACCAGGTGTTCATTCTGTTCCCCCAGGTGTTCAGCCTGTCCCCCAGGTGTTCAGTATCTACCAGGTGTTCAGCCTGTCCCCTAGGTATTCAGTATCTACCAGGTGTTCAGCCTGTCCCCCAGGTGTTCAATATCTACCAGGTGTTCAGTCTGTCTCCCAGATGTTCAGTCTGTCTCCCAGGTGTTCAGTATCTACCAAGTGTTCACCCCGTGTTTAGTCTCACCCCAAAGTGTTCAGTCTCTCCCCAAAGTGTCCGGCCTCTTTCCCATGATTTTCTCACTGTGTGTTTAATCTCCTTCCTCGATTTATAACCCTCTCCCCACCCCCCCTCCCACTTTCCACGTGTCAAAATATCGTACAACCCAGGTGTTTCTGGTACCATCAGAAGCTGAAACTTTGCGCTGGCTGCTGAAGATGGGGACGAGATGCTTCTGGGAATTTTCCATGTGCTGTTATATCGGTTCTTTCGCAAAATACAAGGTCTTTTCTGCTATAAACATTTGATAAGTTGTAAAACAGGCTCATCATCATCATGTGCCCTGCCAGTTGGCGTAGGCGTTTATGCGTCTCCACAGATCACAATCACTGGTTGCCAGGAACAGCTGTCTTGATGATATCCCTCCATGCCATCCTTTCAGCCCATCCAGCATCATCTCTCTTGGTCTACCTCTACCCCTTTCCTCGGATCTTTCCAGCTGTCATGATGTTTTCCAAAGCCTCTCTTTTCATTACGTGGCCAAAGAACAGTGTTTGTCTCTTTCTTATTGTTGTATATAGAGATCTACTTTCTTTAGTTTCTTTCAAGCAATCGTTGTTAGTTACTCTGGCCGTCCAAAGTATTCGTAACATTCGTCTCAGAAACCACATCTCTGTTGCTTCTTAATTTGTTCACTGACATTCCAAGATAGGCTGCCATACAGCAGAACAGGTTCTGTGTAACGTTTTAGCGCCCTCTTTCTGACATTAAATAAGAGCGACTTATTGCATAAGATATTTAAAAAAAAAAAAGCCGTGAAGACATGAAGGTCGTGGATTCCGTTCGTCTCTAAATGTACGGATGTGTATTTGTGCGATGTTCTGAACGGATAGAAAGACATTCTTTCGACTCTTCTCTCTCACACACACACAGAGAGAGCGAGATATTAAGAGACAGAGAGAGAGAGAGAGAGAGAGAGAGAGCGAGATATTGAGACAGAGAGAGAGAGAGAGAGCGAGATATTGAGACACAGAGAGAGAGGAGAGCGAGATATTGAGACACAGAGAGAGAGAGAGAGCAAGATATTGAGACACACAGAGAGAGAGATATTGAGACACAGAGAGAGAGAGAGAGAGAGCGAGATATTGAGACACACAGAGAGAGAGGTATTGAGACACACACAGAGAGAGAGAGAGAGAGCGTGAGATATTGAGACAGAGAGAGAGAGAGAGATATTGAGACAGAGAGAGAGAGAGAGCGAGATATTGAGACACAGAGAGATGAGAGAGAGAGAGAGAGAGAGCGAGATATTGAGACACAGAGAGAGAGAGAGAGAGAGCGAGATATTGAGACACAGAGAGAGAGAGAGAGCGAGATATTGAGACACACATACAGAGAGAGAGCGAGATATTGAGACACACATACAGAGAGAGAGAGAGCGAGATATTGAGAGAGAGAGAGAGAGAGAGCGAGATATTGAGACACACATACAGAGAGAGAGAGATATTGAGACAGAGAGGGAGAGAGAGAGCGAGATATTGAGACAGAGAGAGAGAACGAGATATTGAGACAGAGAGAGAGAGAGCGAGATAGTGAGACACACACACACACACAGAGAGAGAGAGATATTGAGACACACACACACACACACAGAGAGAGAGAGAGAGAGAGAGAGAGAGAGAGAGAGAGAGAGAGAGAGACTATATGCTGCAATAAAATCAAGGCGCCCTTCAAGTATTTAACATGAACACATAATGAAATATACAATAAACAAATCGAGTAGTAGTGTGTAACCCCTTCCCGTGAAGTAGTATAAGCAGACTGCGAATTCTCGACAGCTTTCGTCATCTGCGACCAGGTCGCCAATTGGCTCGCCGGTAGACGACATCGTCCCCGGTCAAGACAGTAATTGGATCTGTCTCCTTTGAGCTCATCAACACTACAGGAGTCTTTTTTTCAGGGCAATGCAAACAAATTTATATGACGCACACAACCTAGTCACAATTATAACCTAAAGCTCTCCCTTCGGGGATGCTAGTTGAAAGTGACGATTTGGGCGGGGAGGGGGGGGGGGGTTGAAAAGCAGGAGGAGAAGATTGACAGCCTTTTGTATTGTCCGAACAAAGCTGGACACCCCCAACCCTCCCCATGACATTGGCTTCGAGGTCGACCAGGGGTCACTACGCCAAAATTTTAATTTTTTTATTTTTATTTACAGAGTTAGAGCAATTATTTTATAATGGTCATTTGAAGGGATACATTTTATTACATTTGCATACTCTTAGTGTGAAAAAATCATGGTTGTCGTGGCAATAGCCGCCATCTTGGGGGAAAAAAACAACATGTACTTAGAATCCTAAAATATCAGAAATAAACATACGTATTGAACAATAGATGATAGATTCATGACCTGTTATCTTATTTAGAGGTACAGGTTTAGTTTATTAACTTTAAACATGTTTCTAAATATTTTTCTTAGAATTTTAAAATGTAGGTTTATTGAAAACGTCAAAAAAATCTTGCAATAATCAAATTTAAAAAATAAACACACAATCTTTCTAAAATCTACTTTTTAAAAGACCAGTCCCTATAATGTTGTTTAAGAAGTATCCATGCTAAATTTCATCTTTCTAGTCTTTCTATTAGCTGAGATTTAAGGATTTCACACACACAACAAACAGAAAAATAGAGATGTGAGAAAACAGACTTTTAAACGTTTTTTTAAATCTTAAAAAAGTGCATGGGTTGGTGCCTTTAGTATTAACTTTTCAAAGCTAAATTGTTTACAAATGACATAAATGTTGTGTGTAATCTATTCTAAAAGTTATATTTTTGTCATAAATTGGAAAAAAAATTCTGTGTAGTGACCCCTTGAATGAATACCAGGTAAAGTCTTGGGAAGTAAAGGCGGTCGACGTGATGATGACCACATCACCCACTGAGTGCCGTTTATTCTACAAAACAGAGGTCTAGCCATATATGCATAAAGGCTTGGAAATGGGGTCCTTTCATTTGGTCTCGGACAGATGTCAGCACACGTACTGATATTTGACAGAGAGAACTTCTCTCTCGGGAGTCGCCGTGGGTTCGCTCCCTGGCGGAGCCGGACTTTTGTCAAAAATGACCTTGGCTCCCAGGTCGACCCAGCTTTGAGTGGGTACCGGGTGCAGTCCCGGGAAAGTGAAGGCGGCCGGCGTGATACTGACCACATCACCCATCTTGTGCCGATTGGTCTATAAAAATATAGGTCTAGCCCTATATGCCTTAAGGCGTGGAAAAGGGTCCTTTGTTTACTTTACTTTACTCTCTCTCTCTCTCTCTCTGTCTCTCTTATCTCGGCTTGATGATGTTATTTTATTGTTTTTATTATGCTTCTATTACTATCTACTTTTCTTCCCAATATTGTTTTATACGGATTTGTTAATAATGTGCTTCAAATATTTCAGTGTTTGTCTGGGTGTGTCTCGGTGTGTGTGCCTGCATAAGTTTTTATGCGGGTGTATGTGTCTGGGTGAGTATCAGCGTGTGTGTGTGTCTGCGATTGTGTGTGTTTGTGTGCGTGTCTATGTGTCTGCGTCTGCTTGTGTGCCTGTGGGTTGTGTGTGTGTGTTATTGCATGTATGTGTGTGTGTGTGTGTATATATATATCGGAGTGTGTGTATGTCTGCATGTGCATCTGTATGTATGTATGTATATGTGTGTGAATGTATATGGGTGAATGCGTGTTCAAATGAGTGGGTGGGCGCGTATGTGTAGGTATATGTGTTTGTGTGCAAGAATTTTATCACCCTAGCTTTTGTGTTGTTTCTTGATATTTACAATATGCATATTATCATATAAATCTAGCACGCTTTATTGATAAAACACAACTGCTGTGTGAAAAATGGGGTGTTTGGAAGGGCCGAATGTCAGACGGGCATGCGTGCCTAATTTGTGACCCCTTTGAAAATCAAGTTCGTTCATTCACTTTGTCTCTCAACAATTTGCTTGTCATTCTCTCTCCCTCTCTGCCTCTTAAACCCCTGTAGTGGATTGTTTCATCTAGCAAGATATAAAACCTATTTTTCTATATTCACACTTCTCCAGATCTTCAGTTTGACTAAACTGA